GCTCCACTTCCCACCACCTCTTTTGCCAGGGAGATCGATGTCCACTGGACCTTGAAGTCGGGCGTGCCTCCGGAAAGCTCTGCCGACGAGCTGTTTGTCTGCTCTAAACTTATACTTGCAATAGGACATAATGCTGCAGGTGAGTGGTGCAGACTGCAGAAGCAAACCGTCTGAGACTCTCAAATCCTGTTTGCCCTTCGATGGCTGAATTTGAGGAGGCAGGAGGTTGGCAGAAACTGTAAGTGCCAGGGCTCTCCCTTTGACATAGTTTGATTTAATGTTGGTCTCTGCTGTGAGCGTCGTCCTTAAGGGTGTCCAGCTCTTGGTTTAGGGAATGGAGTTTTAACCCTCAGGCAGTGGAGATGTCCAGAGAAAGCCACAGTTAGACTGTAAACATAAAACACAAAACCCGGATTTTGTTATAGCTTATTATTTCTCCTGTAAGATCATGGTAAAGTGATAGATCTTCAGTTGAAAGGCAGAAGAAATTAGTGCAGCTGCACTATCTGTTATATCTGGTATGTCCAGAAGTATTAGAGACTTAATAGGTATTAGAGACTTCAGAAGCATTAGACACTTAATAGTGCTCAAGGCCAGATTGGACAGGGCTTTGAGCAACCTGGTCTAGTGGGAGGTGTCCCTGCCCATTGGCAGGGGGGTTGGAACCAGATGATCTTTAAGGTCCCTTCCGACCCAAAGCATTCTGTGATTCTAGTATTTACATTCTTGGTGTATACTAAGGGAATCAAAGTTAACCATGGTGATGTAATTCCTGAGAATATGTGGTTTTGATGTTAGAAATCTCTATATTTAGAACTGCTCTTTACCTTTTAAGTCTTGATCAGTAAGTTTACTCACGTTCTTGATATTTGCTGGATTTGGTCAATAAATGTCTTAAAAATAAGTTATTACTTTTTTTTTCCTTAAACTTGAGATTGTGAAGAAATAATATAATTCAGTTTGGGTATTTATTTGTAAAATGGAGATTTTATTCTTCATAAATTAACAGCTTTTATTCTTTTTTGCAGCTTTCTTGTCATCTTTTATTCTGGATTCTGTATGTTGGGAAATAGTTGGAGCTGTGAAGCTGTGGAATGAGTGGTGTCGAACATCCAGCACAACAAATGTCCTCCCAACAGATTCTTTTTGTTTGTTTTACCGATTAATATCAGATCCAACAGTAAGTGGCTTATGTGTGAATTCCTCTGTATTTTAGCTTTCTGAAAAAAGAGAGCAACTTCATCCACCCCTTACCCTGCCCAGGCCAAAACAATCATTGGGGCTGTGGTATTTTGGGTTAATCTCATCAAAAATCTGAAGGATCGTTATGCTTATTAAAACTATTTGAAGTTCTGGTGTGTGAAGTTCAGTACAAAGAAGACATTTACAGCATGATTGCTTCACATCAGTTGTAAATGAAAAACTCGTGTTGAAATGGAATTGAAGAAGCCCAAGGAAGCCATCAAGTTGTTTCTGCACTCACAGATAAATTATCTCTGCACATGATTATGAGCTGTTTTGTGCCCTTTAAACCACTTGCTTACACAGTGTTGTTTTTTTTTTTTAAGGTTTGGTTGTGCCAGTGCAGTTGTTACGTGGCTGAGGATCAGCAGTTCCAGTGGCTTGAAAAGGTAAAACTGGCAAGACAACAGATTGAGTAATGAAACCGTAGGGGTGGGGATCTTCATCTTGGTGCAAGTGCCTCTTCCTCTCTGATATTCTCAACATGACAGCATTGTAAATAACTTTTTTTCCCTGTGCCTTTCTTAAATATTCAACAGATTTGCTATCAGCAGATTCTGTGAAATTCCTTTCTAGATGCTGCCCATTGTAACTTACCAACTTTGTGCAGTTACTTCTTTTGGAGTGTTTCAATTTTGTTGCCCTTAGCTACTTTCCAAACCTTTTTCCTGTTTGGGGTAACCTTCCTGTGGCTTATTTCAGCTCTGGGAGAATCCTTCTTTAAAAAATAGTAACATAACTGCATTTGTACATCTGCCAAAGAATCACCAGACAAACCTATTGTGAAACTTAAGATGGATGATATTTTGACTAAAGGTTGTGTTTGGTACATGAATGCTGCTGGGTCATTCAGGTTCCTCCAGATACCACCGTGTTGATATTAATAAGATAAGCCAGGGGAGTATGTTTTGGCTTGAGCACATGAGAAGGGTGACTTGGTTGCAAGGGAGAACCATAACAAGTAGCTCAGTGTGAGCATCCAGAGAGGTTACAGGAACACAAAGAGGATGGAAAACTGGGGTAACTTCACTGAATGGTACAGGGTTTTCACATCCAAGTTTGTGGAAAACTAGTCTTTGTGGTTCCTTGGTTTGTTGAAGAGCTTCATTCACTTTGGTGGGGGGGTACTGTTTTTTTTTTTGAAGTTTAGAAGCCCAAAGACCTAAACCATTTTGGGTTTGCTGTATTCCACACATTCTTGCACTTCATTTAAACTGGGATTACAAAAGAAAGATGATGGTGGTTTTGCTGTCTTCCCATTTGTGTTTTTCCAGCTGTTAGCTCGTATGTGTTATTTCGAATGTGGGTGTTCATGAGCAGTAGGAGTGTGCAGTTTTACCAAGTCAGTGTTCGTGAGTATTTTTAGATTTCATGGTTACTGGTATTTTTAAATGTACAACAGAAGCACTGCGATGGTAATGTTTTGCTTTTAGTTTGTATTACAGACCACAGACCTGTTCTGTATGCTTCTTAAATCCTGATGCGCTGAGCATCTTTACAGTCTCCTTGAGTGAGATTTTTACTTTTGTATGTGTTTTCTTAGTACAAAATGAGCACACGCAGACTGAAATTTTTGCAGTAATGGATACCAGGCAGGATTTCCAACAAAGCAAATTCAAAATATGTGTGCTTCTGAAAAGTTAGTTCAGTTTTATATTAGAGCGGTAACACACGGATCTGAGGGAACAGTCAGCTTCCCTTCTGTGATTGGTACCATATACAGAAATGCACGCTTCTATAATGTTTACCAAATTCCCTATTTCCTTACTGATAATAAATCTGAAGAGGACAGTGCAAAGGGAAGGTGCAGGTTTATCATGTTTCTGCTTATTCTGACATCTGACATTCTGTCATGTTTGACATTGTTCTTTGGAAACAATGGGAGACTGTGCAGCGTGTTGGTGTTTTGTGGCAGCATGCAATGGATCCAAAAGTGTTTTGTACAATGTTTTTGAAACTCTTTGCTTTGAATTTGAGGAGGATTGTGAAGAAAATGAAGGTTCTTTTCCCTCAATTCAACTTGAATATAATTAAGTAAAATATGAGTATTTAAAATGAAGACTCTTTTTAAGTGCTGCAGAACGTCTGGGAACCACAATTTTGATTTCAAATGTCTTGCAGTATAGCAAGGTGTTTTCCTATCATAAGCAGCCTGGTTTTATTTGGAGTCCTTTTCCTTTCTACAGTCACCATTAGTTAAAATAGTAAGGCTTAATATATTTGCAGGTGAACAGAAATGCTGAACACTTAAAGCCTCTCAAGATCACTAGACTTGGTAAATACATCAGCTGTTCTTTTGGTGTTTTTTCGTCTCCATTCCAAGATCAATGCATGTGAAATTTCTACCTGAAGGCTGCATTCAAATTTTAGTTAGTCCAGAGAACTTGAATTAAGCTGCCATTTGCATTGAAAGTGAAATAAATCTTTCTGGGTTTATGCTGTTATTGTGAGAAGATGCATGTTGCTTATGTATTAACATTTTTATTTCAGGTTTTTGGCTGTATGCGGAAGGAGGGCTTGCAAGTAACCATTCTTTCAACGTGTCCTGTAGCTGATTACAAAACTCAGGAATCCACTTTAACACTTCCATCTCCCTTTCTGAAAGCCTTGAAGACAAAAGAATTCAAAGAGCAGGTCTGCTGCCCACTGCTGGAACAACCCAACATTGTGCGAGATCTTCCTGCTGCTGGTATTTTGCAATTCCAATTACTTACGATTGCTGCTGGTGGTGACACAAAATTCACTTCGAAGAGCATCCCATTGCAATTAGTATTTATACTTGATTGTGTAAACTGGCTGACAAGTTAGCTTTTTGAAAAATAATTCCTGACAGTTTCACTTCTTACATGTTGCCTTGTGAAATAGAGACAAATTTCAAAACCACCCACAAATCCTTTTAGCCCTCATGTGTGGAGCATAAGTACTAGCAAATGCTTCAGGATACCCTCACAAAGCATATTGCGTGCTTTGTAGGGCTTTGGGAGGCATTTTGTTTATGAACCCAGTATGTTTTATTAAGAATTAGTTTCATCTGAACACCCAGACTGAGGTTCATAAAGTTCTTTCTGCAAATTACAGATAACAGATTTCACAGTGCTACCGCTTGACCCCATGTAAAAATTAGATTTACTTTTGTTACGTAATGTCATAAATTCCCCCCCCTCCCTGGGCTTTTTGTTATGGAGGACCACATTAGTGGTAGCATCATGATGAAAAGCTTTCTGGCAGAAGCTAAAAGTGGATGATTTTTGTAGAAAATGTTTATCTTGTTTGCACCTTGAGTTGATTGAGGGTTTGCATTTTGTTTGGTTGGTTGTTGGGATTTTTTACAGAATCTCATATTGTTTTTGTTTACCAATAACATAGTGTCCAGCTACCATATTTGCAAGAAAAAAGCACCAACAATGTCTTACTAAATTTTGGTGGTTTATTTTCTCATGTACCTGGGGAATGAGGAAGTGCTATTCTAGCAGTTAGGATCCCAAGTAGTTAGTTTATAAACTTTCAAGCTTTGCTTCCAGTGAAAATATGGGGATGTGTAAATAGCAACGTTCCCATACCTTAAAGGGGCCTACAAGAAAGCTGGAGAAGGACTTTTTACAAGGGCATGTAGAGATAGGACAAGGAACAATGGCTTTAAACTAGAAGAAGGTAGATTTAGATTAGACATTAGGAAGAAATTCTTTACTATGAGGGTGGTGAGGCACTGGCACAGGTTGCCCAGGGAAGCTGTGGCTGCCCCATCCCTGGCAGTTGTCAAGGCCAGGGGCTGTGAGCAATCTGATCTAGTGGAAGGTGTCCCTTCCCATGGCAGAGGGTTTGAACTAGATAATAAGGTCCCTTCCAACCCAAACCATTCTGCGATTTTTATGCTTTTGAAGTTCTGGCCAGAACAAATGTGATATTATAACACAGAACAGATTCCCTCTCTGCTGAACATAACACGCGTTTTCTTTTGACTTGTATTTAGTTTTGAGTTACTGTCAAGTGTGGCAGATTCCTGCGGTGTTGTATCAGTGTTACACTGATATCATCAAACTGGACACTGTGACAATTGAAGCGTTCAAGCCTCTGCTTTCTTCTAAAGTCCTGAAGAGTTTAGTCAAGGTAAAATTTCATATTTAAAAATTAATGGGAGATTTTGTCTATTTTTGTCTGTCTGTCATCTCTTGTCTTCTGCTGTTGATGAACTCCTGTGAGGATTCCACGTAAAAAGGCAGAAAAATGTAGATTTTAATGACAGAGGACAATGATTTCTGGTACAGTCCCTGCTCTAACATCTGTTTGGAACTTGCTTAGAAATAATGGATGTGCAACTTCTGTCGAATCTTCATTTTGACTTTTCAGGCTCTTGTATATCAGGGAGTGATTTCTTGTGATCATTTAAGCTGCAGTTTTCTTTGGAGGTGTCTCATGTTAGAACCTTTAAGCATATTATGTTTTTTACACTCATACTCCTATGCACGATGGCTCTTTCCTAGCTCTGTATCTCCTGTCTTATGCCACACATGCCAGTTTCTTAAGAAATCTATTTTGTCCTGAAACTTCTTAAAAGACTGAATTTCTAAAGGTGGTTCTTAAGAGTTTTGCACTAATCAAGCAGCTGTAAAACCATGCCATTATAGCTACTACAGTGAATGTTTTGCTTCTTCCTGAAATGTTTTTAATTGAAGTATAGTTGGTTCAAAACACTCTCCTCAGTTTTGCCAGTTGAACTTGTGTCTAAATGCCAGAAGAGGTTTGTGTGTACTGCAGTATTTATTTCAGCTGTGTGGGAATTGTGAGTTACTTTTCATTACAGCCTATACTGGTCTGCTGGATACACTAATAGAGCAGTACATAAATGTTTAAACTCTGATGGAAAACAGCAAATCTGCTGGCTCTTCCTTTCATACATGAGCGAGGAGTAATGCAAAACAACGAATCGATCCCTTTCTGTGGTTGAACTGCAGATTCCTTTGGAGCCTTTAGCAGGTCTCAGAAAACCTTCATTCTGAAGACCTGAGTTTTGCTTTGGAATGGAAGACAGTGACGCTTTTCTGTTTTATTTCGTTACCAGCAGTATAGCTAATGCTGATCATCTCTTCCTTTTCCTAGGATGTATCTGAAAGCACGAAGATCTTGAAGAAGTTACTGATAACCAATGAAAGTCACAATAATATCTATATCTAAAGAGGATATTTATGATGCAGACTGCACTTTCATAAACTCCAATTTCTTCTGTCTACAGAAGAACATTTTGGTATTGTAGTTGTTTCCTTAAAAATGGAATAAATTCCAGTAGATTCTTTTACTTCTGCACTCATTTTTGTTACTTTCAAATTCATCACTACAAACACATATATTTCTTTTGCATGCCTGGGAGACTTTCTTCTGGAGCAATTTTAGAAAGATACCTTGAATATGAAAAAAACTTCTTTTTCTCCTCCTGAAGGGATTGTCTTGTCTAAATGTATACCTTTTAAATATAAAAGAGGAAATGCTGTTAAGGAATTCTGTCCAATTCTAATGAGAACACGTACTTTTTACTTCAATTTGAGACATGAAAATTTTACTAATACTCAATCCTCTTTAGAGATTCTTCTGTGATGAAGAAAACACACTGCATCTTTTTACATACATCTGTATATGTAATTTTGTTTGTGTGTATGTATGAATGATACATGCGTGTGCACATACTTAATTTTGTATCGACACATGTATTAAAGAAAGGTATGGTAAATGCCTTTAAAAAACTTACTAGTGAAAAGTCAGCTTGCTTCACAAGTTAGTAGGAGGCAGGAATGTGGGGCTGTTTTGAACTTCATGGGACTTGGATTTACTGAGTAGATCATCACTGGTGTTCAGGATACTTCTGCTTCCTGCAGCTCTGGCAGGGAGAGAGATGTGCCCACATTCAGATGCTGTAGCTCCCATCTGCAGAGCCTTGCTGAGAGCCTTGTTGGCAGCTTCAGCATCAGACCTTCAACAGGAGCTGTAAAGGCACAGGAGCATTCCCTGCTGTTGGATCTCTTTCAGTGGTGGGAACCTCTCCTGGTGAAACAGGCTGGTAGGCTTGCAAGCTGCTTCAGCTGGACTTGCCAGGGCAAACTGTTTTAATCTATCCACTTTAAAAGTCCGTATTTCTGGCAGCAGTAGGAATAGGATGTAGTAGGAAAGCAAAAGCTCAAGTTTTACGGTTTCTCTGAAAGTTGGTAGCCATTTCAGCAGTGTATTTAAAATATTAGGATTGGCATGCAGTTCTGACTTGTATATATCCTCTGTTTAACATTTTGCTTACGAAAATGGTGTTAAAGAGAGTATTTCTGTTGCTACCAGGTAATATGCTGGTGTTGTCGCTGCAGAGAGATCTTTAAACTGCATGTCACTTATCCTTTCGGAGCAGAAGGGTAACAAAGTTCTCTACTAAGTTTAACTTTGACTTATATTAAATGTCCAGTGGACATGTTTGAACAGTGTAATATTTCTGCAATAGGAATGTCATCCCTTCAGGTTTGAAAGTGGTCAGCTTAGTCAGCATCCACTGAAGCAGGTAACCCCAGGCTCCAGTAGGCGCACTGTACACTATCACAGTTTCAATGGGAGTAGAATGCTCTTGATGTGCAGATCAAGTTGCATATCAGTTAAGACAATGCTTTAAAATTCTGTTAATATAATTACAGATAAGCAACTGTGGCTTTAACTGGTTCTGTATTTTGGAACGAACAAACTGAAGTGTGACATGCAGGATATGGTTCCTGCTGTTTGGTTATTTGGGGTTTTTTCTCATTTCTCTGCAGCATTTGAATTAAAACTTGTTTGTATGCATGATCTGAGCTGAGGATTCTGTTGCTTTGAAAGAGATGTATGTTTCCTGCACCATTTTCTTACTTGCAAACTGAATGTTTGATTCATAATAAATAAAGTACATAATAAGAAATACCTTTAATAATAAATATACAGGCTTTTACAGGAACTGTAAATATGCATCTGGTATTGGTTTTGTCACCCATGCAGTTTGCAACATTTCGAAACAGTTCTTCATTGAAGTATAGTTTAGTTTTCACTGCCTGGGTTTATGCTGAGGTGTGAGAATGCTCTTAAACACCTTAAATGAAAGTGGCAAACAAAACACTGGCAACTTGTACTGTGAAATTAGAAAGACAAAGCTGGTGTGTTGACAGGATGCTCTGAGGGCTGATTATTGCTTCAAAGGGTGTGATGGCTCTCCAGTGTTTAGGAGATGTTTATGCAGGATGTGGTGCTTTTTCTGTTGGATACTATCAAGCTAAGGCTTTCACCCTGCGTATCCAGGTATATTTCTGTTACCCACTTTAAAGATGAGGTCAAGTTTTGCACAGAAGTAATTCTCTCTGCTGTGAAACTATATAGGCCAGAGAGGGCATGTACACACTGTTTAGTCAGTAGGACTCTCCCTCACCAGTGTCAGCTGGATTGTGCTGTATAAATTTGAAATACCAACCTTTTCCAGTACACGATAAGCGTCACAGGGCAGTGAAAGAAGAGATTTATAATTCCCTTCTATCTTTCTCCATAATTTGATGTCTGAAGTAGCTCATATTCTTTCCTTAAATAGTTCTGGAAGCATCAGAAATAATGAGGCCCAAGTATCTCCTAAGACGTGAGCACTGGATGAAGATTTTTTCATACATCAATATTGCTAAGTTGGGTTTTGTTTGTGGTTTTTAGGTTTTCTCTTCTTCTATGCTCTCCAGTATCTAGTAGGAGCCTGCAGTAAGGTTTTCTTTGTTTCTAACAGCTGCTGGATTTTGTTACACTTCCATACTTCAAGGAGTGTATAAGCTCTTTCATCAAATGTGGCAGATGGCTTCAAAAGCTTTGGGGAAAGAAGTGCATTCTTGCCTGCATGTCTGAAATGCAATTGTACAAGTTTTCTTTCCTTAAAATATTGGGCTAAATGCAAATACTGAAACCAAGCACAGTAAACTATTAAATTGGAAGAGTTTTCTTTTTCCAGTTTTCCATATAAGCCACTTGCTTTGTGGGGTTTTGGTTTGTTTTTTTTTTTCTGGTCAGATAACACCATGCTGTGTTCTGCTCTTTAGTGAGGCTCCTCAGCTTTTGGCTTGTAACGTTTTGGTGTTTGTGCAGTACAGCTCTTAGGTTTGTAAGTACAGGACTGAACAGACATAGTTAAAAAGTCAGGTCCAAGCGAGGGAATCGATGGTTTATTTGGATTTGTTACAAACCCTCCACATTTGAATGACCAAAACAGCAATGGTGCTGGTGTTCTGCTTTTATGGGTTTTTATGGGCACATACAGCGGAGTGAGTCCTCAGTAATAAAATTCTTGCAGTCTGTTGAAAATGCAGCATGAAAACATTATGCCCTGCTCTGTTTCACCGAGCGCTTACAGATCCCATTATATTCCTTCTGGATTGGACATGATGTACCAGTTCTCCTTCCTGTACAGTTTCCCTTTCCTCTGTGCTATCAGCAGGACACTGCTACCATGCACAAAAGCATTAGCCCAGATATTCCTGTTGGAGCTGAAGCTGCATGTTGCACTGAAGCAGGGGATCTTGGAGCTTGTGTCCTGAAGATCGCTTTCAGCTGCTGCCTGCCTTCTAGTGTGCAACATGCTCCCTGAACTTCGTTCATGTACCTCAGTGTTCCCACTGCACAACAGAGATGAGATAGACAACTGCTTTATTCGTTTGTTGGCCCATTCTTGATGCCAATGCATGTTGTATGTCTCTTCCCTGTTCCTATGTGAAGGTCTCCTCAGCTCATTGCATGGCTTTAGCAAACAGTTTAAGTCTTCCTAGACTCCAGCTTTCTCATACAGGCAGCAAATATCTTGGGCTCCATACTGCAAATGGCTTTGTTGCCAAAGCCTCAGAGGAAGAACCTCACTTATGATACGTGGTTTTACAACTTCTATGCCAGAAACTATTAAAACATTTTGGAAGTCAAGTAGGCAAAATTCAGGGAAATCCTGGAAGTTTGCTCTGCAAATTGTAATTCAGTCCCCAACCCCATGCCCGAACAGTTGCATCCGTACAACATTAAGCACGTCTTACAACGTTAATGGGCACCTTTATCTAGCTGAGTGAGATCAGAGCTGTGAGGTAAGATTTCTTACTTTATAGGAAACATTGAGATGCTGTTGACATACCATAGAATAGTTGATGAGCAAAAGTTCTTGAGAATTCCATACAATAAATACTGTGGAAAGCCATTAACTCAAATAAAAATTAAATCACTTGTTTCACTCAGATAGCAACATATCCTGAGATGTCTTCAGTGAGAGAAGAAGACCATAGACACCAAATAGTACATATGTGGAAGAAAACTAAAGGCAGATTGGCAGGCCATAGTCCCAAGGTTTTTACTTTCAAATAATTGTATAACCAAATGGTTTCATGTTCTTTCTGTGGGATGTTATGCCCTTGTCTGGGTAATGGCTTTAAAGTAGAAAATGTTCTGTAAGAATAGCGATGTACCTTCAGAGGGCAGTTTCTTAACATAAGCCTTACTTAAAAGACCATGGGTCCTTCCCCTGTGTTTTAATCAGAGGATTACAGTGTGCTTTCATACACTAAACCCATTATATTTCTTCTGTTCAGAATTGGTACTCAAATTCTTCTCTTAGGTCTGATTTGGACTCAGAACCCTTTTCATGGTCTACTGAAATGAAAGCTATCTTTTTTCCCATTATCTCTATAGACTTTAAAAGCCAATCTGCTGCTTCATAGGGAATTAACAAAAAGGGGAATCAACATAATAGAGTCATGATCACTGAAGGCAGCAATTCGATTACTGAACAGATGAATGGTGAATGTACAGCCTCGCTTAAAAAAAGAAATCAAAAACCTGTGGGTAGGAAGGTTGTAGTTGGAAAGAACAGAGGCAGCCGGTATGGAAAGGTGAGATCACAGTCAAGAAAACCTTAGCACTGACCATCCTATAAAATTAGTGTTTCAGACTGCTGTGAAATAAAAGTAGGTTGTAAGGTGGGTTAGTTGTTCTCTGCTGGCCTGAGTAACACCCTCACAGGTCACAAAGAATGCCTTTGTGCTGCTTCGCTTAATTCACTTCCAAATTGGATTGAAAAAGAAATTTTTGTGCAGTATAAGCACAGTGAGCAAGTGCAGATACTGTGCCTGGCTGTTTCCACCCATAAACCCTGGAGGACGTTTGCAAGAAGCCCTGTGGATGCTGTCAGAAACAAGCGGCTCTTCTGTTTGTTACTTAGAAAATGCTGGTGCAAATGTCTTCAGCCAGAATTAAGAGTCCCCAGCGTAGCTCAGGTTGTCGGGTTGTTGTTGTTGGGGT